CTTCTCCTCTTCTCATCCTTCTCTTCTCTCATCATCCTTCTCCTTCTCCTTCTCCTTCTCATCTTCTCCTTCTCTCATCTTCTCCTCTCTTCTCATCCTTCTCCTTCTTCTCATCCTTCTTCTTCTTCTCATCCTTCTCCTTCTCCTTCTTCTCATCCTTCTCCTTCTTCTCATCCTTCTTCTCATCCTTCTCCTTCTTCTTCATCCTTCTTCCTTCTCCTCATCCTTCTCCTTCTTCTCATCCTTCTCCTTCTTCTCATCTTCTTCTCATCCTTCTCCTTCTTCTCATCCTTCTCCTTCTTCTCATCCTTCTCCTTTCTCCTTCTCATCCTTCTCCTTCTTCTCATCCTTCTCCTTCTTCTTCATCCTTCTTCTCCTCTCCTTCGTCTCATCCTTCTCATCTCTCATCCTTCTCCTTCTTCTCATCCTTCTCCTTCTCCTTCTTCTCATCCTTCTCCTTCTCCTTCTTCTTCATCCTTCTCCTTCTTCAAAGGCTCTCTGAAGCCTAGAAACCCTTTTTATAAGTCATCTTCGTAGCGAAGAAATTCGCATCGAATCGAATTTCACACTGGAATTCGCCGAATCAGCCGAATCGAATTTTTGAGAAATTCGCTCATCCCTATTCATAAACAAAGGAAAATAACTGTTTCTTCTCTAAAGGGTCTATTTTGACCTTACTGATTTTTTTAAACAATAAATATGTCATTTTAAATTTTTCTAAATGTCCTAAGTTTGTTTTATACATATTCATGTTTTTAATTTAAAATAGTTTTTATTAATATTGAAATTGGCATAAAGTAACAACATCAATGCTGACAAAGCCATGTAGCTATGTTGTAAATGTTCAGATGAGGGCATAGATAACACAAGGTTTCTGCAATGTAAAATACACAGAACAAATGTAATACATAGGCAATTGACAAAAGTGTTTTCTGATGTCTAAATTTTATGGATATTTAGAACTTAGTATCACCCCTTAGACATAACAGATCACAAATGATTATATGGCACTGCACCCTTCAGTACATCAGACCTAAACACATAAGGGTCACTGTTCAAAATCAAGTAGGAGCGGTGTCTGAAGATTCTGCTCACCACATACCCCAAATTTTCTGAATGTATTTCAGGTAACCTCTGTGGTCATAGATCATGTTCTTTTATGGAAATATTGTATTAATCTCTGCTTTCCATTGTTGTAGGCTAGGCATCCTAGCTTGGATCCCCACATTAGCCATTGCCTTCTTGGCAGTAAACAATACCTCAAGCAAAAAGATGCACAGATAAATGTTTCATTTTAAAAACTCAGGAGGACCCAGCAGGCATAGTCGAGGATCTAGATGTACCAGGGAACCCATGGCATCATGGAAAAAAGGTGATTATTTTCTACCAGTGAGCCAGTATCTGTGGACAGGACCAGCATGAAAAAGGAACCAGGAGCCCTTTAGATCTTGCTAATGAAATTGGCATCAAATAGATACAAAGAGGTATAAATAAATGGATGAGCTTATCAGTAAGTTTTAAGGAAACTGGTGGCCATGCTGGTTAGAACCTCTTCCCAGGCCCCATCATCATTAGGACCCAAATCAGCATACCACATGCATGAAGTACTTCTACTTAATTTGTTTCAACTTGTGGAGTGGAGTCCAATGACAACTGCCACACATAAGAATATCTCTCAGACATGTAACAATAAATTTGAGATATGAACAGGCCAACCATTGTCATTACTCTCCTGTTTCATTTAATTTGAAAATGTATGTTTTGGGAGACAGTTGATGTTTGTATAGTTTGCACAGCCCTATATACTGTATTTACAACAAAACTTAATGACCAAAGTCTGCTGATTGAAATGTCACATTGGTGCAACTGTTATGTAACACAGTAAATGGTAATAGGAACGGTAAAGGGCAAGCGAAAATAGTATGTGTTTTACTTTAGGGGAGCTTTATTATCTATATTCCCTATTTATTTACTCATTTTTCCAGGACATTCTTCAGCAATAAAGTTTTCACCCATAGTGCTCCTTTCCAAACATCCACCTTCTAGCTCCACTTCCCCTAGATGTACCCTCCAGCATGTGATGTGATGGCCCTCACCCTTGTATGTGCTTACAGGCCCTGTTCTTCAATATGCCATGAACCACCATGCACCCCTTTTCCATTTACTTCAGACCAGTCATTTGAACGTTTAACAACGTTGCTTGTAGCGCTGCAATAATACAATCCAAAGTGCACACCAGTCCCACTCTGACTAACTAGTCCCAGGCTGCCCAAGCATACCTTTCCAGGTAGTAGTTCATATCTGGAGGAGTCCTGTTTTAGGTTGATTCCTGTGGTGGGTGCTACCAGATTGCTTGTGGTTACATCTTCTCTGGTGGACTTCTTGATCCTTTTCTCATGCAGTCTTCCCCCCGAGCAGTGCCTTCTTCCTATCTATATCAATCACAGAGTGGAGGGCAGTACTCAGAAAAACTCAGGAAAGGCTTAGACTTAGAGTTAACCCTTTCCCACCAGGGCAACCCAGAATATCTATCTAACAGCAGCAACATTTGTAAGAACCTGCACACACATAGGCCTGGGCTAGGATCATATTAGGCAAGTAACAGTAACAATTTCAGAATGAGAGGTCAGCAATGGCAGTTTCTTTGTTCCTTTCTTGACAAGTTTCCATTAAAAGTGAATCTCAGGAACATATAAAAAACACAATAAAACAACTTTCTAATTGTAAATACAACATGAAATGTATTTTAAATACAGCCAGTACTTTGTATTAGCTTCTTGCAGCCCAGAACAGCAGAGCCCTTAGCCCAGACTAGAGCCAATTCTGTTCTGTAGTGCAAGAAACATGCTAATAGGAAAAAGCACAATTGCACAGATGGGAGCTCATTAGTCTGTTGCTTCTCCTTACACTGATCAGTCACCATATGGAGGAGACAGGGCCATCTTTAAGGAGGGGCAAAAGGAGCGGCTGCCCTGGGCCCAGTCATTGTTGTGGAGCCCAAAGAGCCTGTCCAATACTTGCCAACTGTACTGGTTTACACTCCCTTGGAAGTCTTTGTTCCACACTGTCAGATATCTGAGTGTGAAGTGCTGTCACTTATGCTGCCCAGCTCTATTTGCCATGCACAGATGACTGACATGTCAGCATTCACATGTAAATAACTGCAGCATTCATATGTAAATAGCGTTAGCAATGTGGCATTCATATGTAAATAGCAGCTCCATTCATGTATATATATTCTGCCCCCAAGATTCTAGTCGGCAACACCTCTGCTGGTGTTCAGTGTAAAATCCCTTTACTTTGGTGGCCAGTGTAGAAATTTATTGGTTGTTGGTGTAAAATCCCCTATTACATTGGATGTTAGCGTAAATTCTTCATTACATTGGTGGTCAGTGCAAATTCCTCATTATATTGGTCATCAGTTTTAATCCCCCCTAACATTGGTGTATAAATGTCACCTCCCATCCCCATCCAGCACTGCCACTGATCCCATCCACCCCAAGCACTGCCATTGATCCAATCCCCCCAAGCACTACCACTGATCTCATCCTCTCCACCTCTGCCACTGAACCCATCAATCCTCCCCCCAGCACTGCCATTGATCACACACTCCCCCCAGTACTGCCCATGATCCCAGAAGTCTTAGGACTTTTCTGTCTGTTGGTGGGTCCCCTAACCTTCTCAGTCCACGGTGTGCAGGCAGCAAGGCTATGATGTGCTGTAACCTCCAGCAACCAATCAGTGAGCAGTAAGGATGTGCAGTAACCACTAGTAGAAATCATGTGCTGTAACCTCTAGTAACTGTTCAGTGAGCCGTAATGTGTGCTATAACCTCAATCAATTGCAATTGCTGTGTGATCTGCTGGGGTAAACTGATTTTGAGTTTAGCCGCTATTTATTGTATGTCTCAGAGCAGGTGGAGAGCAAAATTTCATGGGGGGCAAGAAAATGTTTGCCCAGGGTGCCATCAATATTAAAGATGGCCCTGGGAGGAGGGACAACACCTGTAAGTGATACTTAAAAGATAAGTTCACCTTTAGTAACATGTTACACTCATGTAACGTGCCACCAACGACCACCTGCCTGCGCCCTTCCAATTCACTGCTGTGACAGCAAGCAGGGGATATTCTCTCCATACCCGCTGTCACAATTTAAAATGAGCATGGCCATGCAGGACTACACCCACACGTCCATTCATTCATAGAGTTCTGTGAATGAATAAACTACAATTACCCTCTGCCATTGAGGTTGATGGCTTGTTGTTTTCAGTGAACTGTGAGGGCACTAGTGAGAGCTCTCATAGCTCATTGATTTTCTCTCCAATAACTGTCTACCTGTACAGGAGGTATGGGCAGGCAGCTGTACTGAGATTCGGCAGGAGCCTGGCATTGCACCTGTGATCTGCTCATTGCGGATGCAATGCTCTACAGGCCCCAGAAGGAAAAAAAAAATTAATAAATGATGATTTGTTTTACCTGCAAATATATGTGCATTTATTGTTTTTAAGGTGAACTCTTAAACTCTTAAACTGCAACAGCGACAAGTCAGGTCTTCTGTCCTGTCTGGCTTGACCATACTGTGTGTCAGAGCCATGTAAGCTGCAGATCTGGAAAGACATACATAAAAATTAATTGGCAGGCAAAATGGCTTCCATATATGTATTTAGTGTGTGTATTTAACTGTCCTGACCAGGTAATTTTTTGCGATAGGGCACTGCCTTATTTTAACTGACAATTGCGCGGTCATGCAAAGCTGTACCCAAAATAAATTTACGTCCTTTCTTTCCCACAAATAGAGGTTTCTTTCTATGGAATTTGATCGCCTGTGCATTTTTATTTTTTGCGCTATAAGCAAAAAAAGACCGACAATTTTGAGAAAAAAACAATATTTTTGACTTTTTGCTATTAAACATGTCCAGTATAAAAATTTAAAAAAATCTAATTTCATCATAAATGTATTCTGCTGTCTTTTGTCTTTTCAAAAAAAAATCCCAATACGTGTAAATTAATTGGTTTATGTGAAAGTTCTAGTGTTTACAAATAGCGGTATAGGTACTGGAATTTTCTTTTTTTTTATTAGTAATGGCGGAAATCAGCAACTTATAGCAGGACTGCGGCGGGCATTCTGACACTGGGGGGAACTGACTTGGTGTCACTGACATCCCCAGTGACACCCATACAGTGATCAGTGCTAATAAAAAGCACTGACACTGTACTAATGGCACTGGGCAGGAAGGGGTTAACATCTGGGGTGAGGAAAGGGTTAACTGTGTACTGTGTGTGTTTTACTAAGTGTGCTGTGTTTCACTGTAAGCACACTGCTTTGTATGGATCTGCTATGCAGAGCCATACAAAGTAGTGTGCAGGAGCTGACAGGTGAGAGATTTGTGTTGTTTATACACAGGTCTTTCCCCCATCGGAGATACTTGGCGATCACCGGGTACCAGAGAGAATCACTGATTGACAGCTGAGGTCACGAATGGCACGGGTACCCGGAACAGCAAAATTATCATATATAAACGTGATTTTGTGCACCCATGCCACCCTGTAGCAGTATTTCTTCTATAGGGTGGAGTGGAAGCAATTCATTAATCTGAGTTATTTTGTCAGTCATAAGTCACTTTATAATAGTATATATTACACTTTTCCTACTTTAGGCTTCTTGCACACAGGGCCATCTAGCTTCTGTTTGTACATTCCAGCATATTAGTGTGCCAAGGAGGACAGGAGCAGTTTCCAGCACCGCTGCATACAGTCTGTCAAAGTCTATGGCAGGCTGTAGTTGGACAGGGCTGAACACTATACTAAGTGGTACTTGTATTTAGGCCCCTGTGTGTTTATGAAAGAAAGCTTAGAACACAGGTCTGCTGGTACATAGTTAAATAGTTAGTCTGGCTGAAAAAAGACAAAAGTCCATGCACTTCAACGATTCATCAAATGTTCATCTTAAAAACATAGGATATCATTGTTTTGTCCAATATATGAACTTCCTGGACTAATTACACTCCTTGAGATAACACAGGTTACAGGTATGACTTTCTGACAGGGTCAATCAGTATTTTTATGCTTTTATCAAACAGATATAGCAAACACAGTGGCTAAGTGGCTAGCACTTCCACCAAGAAGCACTAGGGTGGTCACTTCAAATCCCAACCACAGCCCTACCTGCCTGGAGTTTGCATGTTCTCCCTGTGCCTGCGTGGGTTTCCTCCAGGTACTCTTGTTTTCTCCCACACTCCAAAGACATGCCTAGTAGGTAAATTAACTCCTGTCTAAATTGTCCCTAGTATGTGTATTTATGTGTAAGTTAAGGACCTTAGATTGTACGCTCCTTGAGGGCAGGGACTGATGTGAATATACAGTATCTCACAGAAGTGAGTACACCCCTCACATTTTTGTAAATATATTATTATATCTTTTCAGACCTAAACCCTATTGAGCATCTGTGGGGCATCCTCAAACGGAAGGTGGAGGAGCGCAAGATCTCTAACATCCACCAGCTCTGTGATGTTGTCATGGAGGAGTGGAAGAGGACTCCAGTGGCAACCTGTGAAGCTCTGGTGAACTCCATGCCCAAGAGGGTTAAGGCAGTGCTGGAAAATAATGGTGGCCACACAAAATATTGACACTTTGGGCCCAATTTGGACATTTTCACTTAGGGGTGTATTCACTTTTCTTGCCAGTAGTTTAGACATTAATGGCTGTGAGCAGGGGCGGACTGACCATTTGGAAACTTGGGCACTGCCCGAGGGCCCGGGGTCAGTAGGGGGCCCCATGAGATGCCCGTGGTACCTTTTTCATAGTCTTTTTTGAATTTGGGCAAGGATACAAGGGCCCCATGATCCCCTATTGCCCAGGGGCCCCATGAGTTGTCAGTCCGCCCCTGGCTGTGAGTTGAGTTATTTTGAGGGGACAGCAAATTTACACTGTTAAACAAGCTGTACACTCACTACTTTACATTGTAGCAAAGTGTCATTTCTACAGTGTTGTCACATGAAAAGATAGAATAAAATATTTACAAAAATGTGAGGGGTGTACTCACTTCTGTGAGATACTGTATATGTAAAGTGCTGCATAAATGGATGGTGCTATATGAATACCTGTAATAAATAAAATAAATAACACCTTCAATGGTATATTTAACAGAGGGTTTACATACATTTAAAAACTTATGTCCTGACGGACAGAGTTGTGCTGTGTAAATCACATGACTGGACAGACAGATATACAAAACCTTTGGCAGATAAAACAGCTTTCATATATGCAGGTCACCCGTATTCCTCCTCTGCTTCAAAGGATCATATGTACATGGCTACTATTTGTAGCATAGAGCAAGCTAGATATTTTAATGTGTTATCTTTAACATTTTTATATTCATGCTTTATTTGTCCCCTGAAAGCCATCATCACTGAGACTTCCTGTGTATTTTTATGATTGCCAGGGAGATAACAATGCATATCATTCGTGTTGCTTATTTAGTAGCAAAAGATTGTTACACAGCCAATTGTTGCTGCAGGAAAGGGCAGAGGCTAAAATAATGTTTTTTCATCTAAGCCAACTTCAGCAAATGTTGTGTGATTTGCTTGTCAATATTAGTGATGTTATACTCCTAGATTGTAAGCTCTAACGAGCAGGGCTCTCTGTTTCCTCTGTACCAAATTGTATTGTAACTATAATGTCTACCTTCATTTTGTAAAGCGCTGCGCAAACTGTTGGCGCTATATAAATCCTGTTTAATAATAATAATAATAATAATAATAAATCTTTCAAATCACGCACAGGTTCTAATGAATTATCCATTTAACTTGTTTTTACAGATCAAACTTTACAAACGAATGGACCACTCTCACAAAGAATATTATATTTTTATAAGTGAATGCGGACACTGCTTGTAATTATAATATTTTTCATATACTCACACCTTTTTTTGTCACTCAAAGACAGAGAAAATGGTCTGCAAAGCCGTGCACCATGACTGGAGGACTTACTGGTATAATAACAGGACAAACAGGCAACAGCTAATGGCTTGATGCTGATAACTGGTGTTATTTGGGCTATTTATCCATAAATCCTCTGTTCATGGTACACAGCTTCATGGGCCATTTTCTTCTTTAAATGGATTAGCAACTGAGCAGGACTGTGGTGCCATGGATCAGTAACTGCTGGACTATAGCTAGATTTCCCTTAGCAGCAGCAATACTTTTTGTTATCAATGCTTTTTTATCATTTGTGTTTTTTTCCTAACAATTACATGCAGACCCAGAAAGAGTGACAATGACAAAAGTTAAGGTTAAACATAAAGGCCTGTTCACAACAGTGTGTTTAGGTAACATACATGTTTAACTTGTGGTTTCACGTGTTTAAATGTGCATTGCACTTAGCAGAACATTTATTTGGATTGGACTGCCAAAGCTTAACACCATAAAATCAGGCAATTTTTTTTAATGTAATGCCATACAAAATGCACAGACTGTTCATATCTGTGCTTTGTGGTGTGTATCTTGTGCAGGTGCATTGCCATTCAAAATGAATGCCATCTCAATGCATTTCACTGTGTTTGATGTGTTATCGCACTTTGCAGCAGTGTGTTGTACTGATGTGGATGGGCGCTAACACTGGGTATTTACTATGGATATCTTTTCCATATGGTTTAAAGCGATAGTAAACCCAAAAGCAAACATTTATTATATTGCAGCTCACCAATTCTAAGACTTTGTGGCTGCGGTGCTTTTCTTTTTTAGGCTTTCTTTCTTTTATTTTAACCGCTTCCCATCTGCCCTATAGCAGAAAAACTGCTACAGGGCAGCACGGTTGCACAAAATCACATGTATATAGTATATATGTGATTTTGTATTTTTGCGTCTGCGGCTGTCAACAACCGGGTCCCAGCCCATGACTACTTTCTGGATCTCAGTGATTTCCAAAGATCTCCGATGAGGAGGAGGACTGTTTTGTTTACTAACAGTCCTTCTCCCTGTCAGCTGTGCACAGCCATCCAGAGCAGTGTGATTACAGTGAAGCACACTGGCACGGCCCCTAGTAAAACACTCCCAGCACACAGTTAACCCTTTGATCGTCCCCCATGTTAACCCCTTCCTGCCAGTGCCATTATTACAGTGTCAGTGCTTTTTTTTAGCACTTATCACTGTATTGGTGTCACTGGGGATGTCAGTGACAGCAAGTCAGTCCCCCCAGTGTCAGAATGTCCACCGCAGTCACTGATTGCCGCCATTACTAGTAAAAAAAAATCCAGTATATATACCGCCATTTTTAAATGCTGTAAAGTTCACATAAACCAATTAATTTACATGTATGGAGATTTATTTTTTAGTAAAGACATGTAGCAGAATACATTTTGGTGTACATTTATGATGAAATTAGATTTTTTTAATTTTTTACTGGACATGTTTAATAGCAAAAAGTAAAAAATATTGTTGTTGTTTTTTTCAAAATTGTTGGTCTTTTTTTCTTTTCATAGCGCAAAAAATAAAAAATGCACAGGCGACCAGGCCATTTTTTGCGTTACGGCACTGTGTTACTTTAACTGACAATTGCGTGGTCATACAACGCAGCATCCAAATGAAATTTCTGGCCATTTTTCCCCACAAATAGAACTTTCTTTTGGTGGTCTTTGATCGCATGTCCAGTAAAAAAAATTAAAAATCTAATTTCATCATAAATTTAGGCCAAAATATATTCTGTTACATGACTATGCTAAAAAAAAATCCCAATACATGTAAATTATTTGGTTTTATGTGAAAGTTACAGCCTTTACAAATGGCGGTATATATACTGGGATTTTTTTTTACTAGTAATGGCAGCAATCAGTGACTAGCAGGACTGCGGGACTGTGGCAGGCATTCTGACACTGGGGGGAACTGACTTGGTGTCACTGACATACCCAGTGACACCAATACAGTGATCGGTGCTAATAAAAGGCATACTAATGACACTGGGCAGGAAAGGGTTAACATGTGGGGCTATCAAAGGGTTAACTGTGTGATGTTTTACTGTGTGCTGTTTTGTTGCTTTCAGCTGTAAGCACACTGCTTTGTATGGCTTTGCTATGCAGAGCCATGCAAAGCAGTGTGCAGGAGCTGACAGGGGAGAGATCTGTATTGTTTACATACAGTGGGGATCGAATGTTTGGGCACCCCAGCTAAAAATTTGTATTAATGTGCATAAAGAAGCCAAGGAAAGATGGAAAAATCTCCAAAAGGCATCAAATTACAGATTAGACATTCTTATAATATGTCAACAAAAGTTAGATTTTATTTCCATCATTTACACTTTCAAAATAACAGAAAACAAAAAAATGGCGTCTGCAAAAGTTTGGGCACCCTGCAGAATTTATAGCATGCACTGTCCCCTTTGCAAAGCTGAGACCTGCCAGTGTCATGGATTGTTCTCAATCATCGTCTGGGAAGACCAGATGATGTCAATCTCAAAGGTTTTAAATGCCCAGACTCATCTGACCTTGCCCCAACAATCAGCACCATGGGTTCTTCTAAGCAGTTGTCTAGAAAACTGAAAATAGTTGACGCTCACAAAGCTGGAGAAGGCTATAAGAAGATAGCAAAGTGTTTTCAGATGTCAATATCCTCTGTTCGGAATGTAATTAAGAAATGGCAGTCATCAGGAACAGTGGAAGTTAAAGCAAGATCTGGAAGACCAAGAAAAATATCAGACAGAACAGCTTGCAGGATTGTGAGAAAAACAATTCAAAACCCACGTTTGACTACACGATCCCTCCAGAAAGATCTGGCAGACACTGGAGTTGTGGTACACTATTCCACTATAAAGAGATACTTGTACAAATATGGTCTTCATGGAAGAGTCATCAGAAGAAAACCTCTTCTACATCCTCACCACAAAAATCATCGTTTGAACTTTGCAACTGAACATACAGACAAGTCTGATGCATTTTGGAAACAAGTTCTGTGGACCGATGAGGTTAAAATTGAACTTTTTGGCGGGAATGAGTAAAGGTACGTTTGGAGAAGAAGGGGCACAGAATTTATTGAAAAGAACCTATGTCCAACTGTTAAGCATGGGGTTGGATCAATCATGTTTTGGGGTTGTGTTGCAGCCAGTGGCACAGGGAACATCTCACGAGTAGAAGGAGAAATGGATTCAATAAAATTTCAGCAAATTTTGGATGGTAACTTGATGCCATCTGTGAAAAAGCTGAAGTTAAAGAGAGGATGGCTTCTACAAATGGATAAGGATCCTAAACACACCTCGAAATCCACGGGGGATTACATCAAGAGGCGTAAACTGAAGGTTTTGCCATGGCCTTCACAATCTCCTGACCTCAACATAATTGAAAATCTATGGATAGACCTTAAAAGAGCAGTGCGTGACAGACAGCCCAGAAATCTCAAAGAACTGGAAGACTTTTGTAAGGAAGAATGGGCAAAGATACCTCAAACAAGAATTGAAAGACTCTTGGCTGGCTACAAAAAGCGTTTACAAGCTGTGATACTTGCCAAAGGGGGCAGTACAAGATATTAACTCTGCAGGGTGCCCAAACTTTTGCAGATGCCATTTTTTTGTTTTCTGTTATTTTGAAAGTGTAAATGATGGAAATAAAATCTAACTTTTGTTGACATATTATAAGAATGTCTAATCTGTAATTTGATGCCTTTTGGAGATTTTTCCATCTTTCCTTGGCTTCTTTATGCACATTAATACAAATTTTTAGGTGGGGTGCCCAAACTTTCGATCCCCACTGTACAGTTTTCTCCCTCCGTTGGTAATGCTCACCGATCACCGGGTGCCGGCGAGTAATCACCACCTGGGTCCCAGTGATTGACAGCCGAGGCCACGAATTGCAAAATCACATATATATATATGTGATTTTGTGCACCCCTGCCACCCTGTAGCAGTATATCTGGCAGGGCAGTAGGAAAGTGGTTAAGCTCAACTTTAAGAGACAGAAAAAAAAAAAACCTTTCAGTTTTGCTTTTTTGAGCGCATTTTTCTGGCAGAAAAAACACTGGTAATTGCTCCTAAATGCTAGTACAAAAAACACTCAAAATTATTGTTTTTTCTGCCAAGAGCACTGGCCTTTTTTAAGCCCATGGTGCATCGAGCACTTATCTCTGCCCAAACTGACAATTCTGTTGTCTAATAGTGCCCCCTGTGCTCATTCATCCAGAGTGAAGACATTCTAATACAGGAGGTGTGTTACTAGCCAGAAAATAGAGTGGAAAAAGCCAAAAAGAGAAATCAAGTTCACCCACCATATTTAAGAACTGGTAAGCTGCAATATATTACAGTTTTGGTTTGGGGTGTAAGCCGTGTACCGGGGTGGGCTCCCCAGGATACAGTGAAGTCACGAACGAGGAAAGCAAGCCCAACACCAGCTTTTGCCACAACAGAATTTTACTTAGATGTGGCAAATAAACACAACCACAAATGCTGGAAACATACAATAAATTTACATACACCCAGCCCAAAGGCTGAGACCCTTGTGCTGCACAGCACGGCGCCTTCTGATGGATGACGGTAGAAAGTGAAGTAATTTACCTACTGGCGGGCACAACTAAGCTGCCACACCTTACCTGTTATTACCCTAAAAGAGCAGGAATAGAGTGTATGGGTGTACGGTATGGGCTAGGCTGGGGTGCAGCACAACAGCTTACAATCTTACACAAATCTACAGTATTCCCCCTCCCATAACTGGTCCTGTAGCACGTGCCTGAGTATTCCTTCTGAGCAAAACGCCAGTCTGGCTTGAGTTTGTAGGATTGTATCAGCTCTCCAATGTGAAATGTCACTTTAAGTTGTGGAGTCCTTCCAATGATCAGTAATAACACTTGTGGCCTGACACAAACAGAGACCCTAACTAACTATGTTATATTGTAGTTTATGCTGCGTTGTTCCTCGGCTCTCATCAGCTTCCTGGCAGCAATCTCATCAGCTTCACCCAGCTGCAGCTTACATGGCCCCTCCATTCAGCATTCTCCAGAACATGGCTCCTGCATTCAGCATCATCCAAAACATGGCTGCAGTCTCCTCTTCCTGTTCACTAAAAACCCCACCTCTTCATGAATATACAAATATCTATGCAGTCTGGGCCTGTGTTAGAAACAGTGACATCTTGTGGCTAAACCGCAGAATGTCAGTCAAAACATCAATTTACTCCACACAATAATTTACTGCACACAAACAGTGTTCAAACAATGAGAGCTGTTTCCCCATCTCACAAGGGTTTAATACTGTTTTAAGGAGACTCTGCCACCACCTGCTGCACTGCAGACTGAAGACAGGCAGAGAATCTGTAATGGAAAAACGTACACAAACACTGCCTGAAACAGCCATGTTGCTCCGCTCAGCAATATCTTAGTGACAATTCTACAGCAAAGTCATCACTTCTGCAAGTCTCAGATAGGAAGCATTCCAGGGGCCTTCCATACACTTTATTCAAAACACCTGGAAGTGTCAATCTTGCAGCAGCAGATTGCCACCAAGATATCATACCAGAAAACAAATTCCATCAATGCAATGAAGGAGAAAAAGGTTTTATGAAAAGAGCAATCTCAGGATGAACACAGTGTGCCAGATAACAAACTACTGTCTGTCTTTGGACCTCTGATAAAGTGGTGCTAATGAGGAGGATGAAGTCTATTTGGTGACATCAAGACGCTCTGAGGGGCCCCTATGCCAACTCTGAGTGCAGTGAGCAGGAAGGAATTTGCTACCTGGCACACTGTATTCACGTTGAGTAATGATGGGCCGAACCCCCTTGTGTTCAGTTCACAATTGAATGTTCAAACCTAATGAACGTTCGACCATGAACTTCGAATTCAATGCAAGTCTATGGGGCTTGAACTTGTCAATTTTGAAGGCTTATATGCAAGTTATTGACCATAAAAAGGGTATGGGGACTTAGGTACTGCCCTGAGGGACATGAATCAGTGAAAAAAAAGAAAAAAAGGGTAGTCATTTTTTATTGCTTAACCGGTTCCCAACCACGCTATAGCCGAAGGATGGCTACAGTGCGGTTGTGGAATCCTGGAACGATGTCCATGGACGTCATTCCCGAACCCGCCCCCCCTGCGTGCCCCCAGCGGCGCGCACCTGGTGCCACCGGTGATTGCTGTGTCCTACGGACACAGCTGATCACGGGGTATGGTAAATACAGTTGTCGGTTCTCGACTGCACTTTCCTCACACTGTCACAGATGATGATCAGTGCCCAGCAGTGCCGCCCACCTGTGCCACCCACCTTTTCCCATCAGTGTCGCCCACCTGTGCCCATCAGTGCTGCCCACCAGTGTCACCCGCCTGTGCCTAGCATTGTCACCCACCTGTGCCCATCAATGTCACTCACCTGTTTCACTCAGCAGTGCCACCCACCTGTGCCCATCAGTGCCACCCACCTGTGCCTTGCAGTGCCACCCACCAGTGCTGCCCACCAGTGCCATCTATCAGTGCAGCATAATCAGTGCCAGCTCATCAGTTCCACCTATCAATGCCGCTTATCAGTGCCTCCTACAAGTGCCCATCAGTGCTGCCTATCAGTGCCACCTCATCAGTGCTGCCTATCAGTGCAGCCTCATCAACGCACATCAGTGAAGGAGAAAAATTACCTGTTTGCTAAATTTTATAATAGATTAAAAGTGCCTAGTAGGCAATTGGTTAGTTACTTCCATACAGGGCGCTTTTACCCCCTTCCTGCCCAGGCCAATTGTCAGGTTTTAGCGCTGTCACAATTTGAATGACAATTGCGCAATCATACAACACTGCACCCAAACTAAAATTTTATCATTTTCTTCACACAACTAGAGCTTTCTTTTGGTGGTATTTAATCACCACTGGGGTTTTTATTTTTTGCTAAATTAACAAAAAAAGATTGAAAATTCTGAAAACAAAACACGTGTTTCTCTTCTAAAAGTTTGCAAATAATTGTTCTTCATAAATTTAGGCCAAAATGTATTCTGCTACATGTCTTTGGTGAAAATAACCCATATCAGTATTTATTATTTAGTTTGTAGGAAAGTTATAGAGTTCACAAACTATGGTATATATCTGAAAATTGATCAATCCTGAAGTACTGACAGTCAATCTAATTTCTTGAGGCCCAAAAATGTCAGAA